TAAAGAAGAGCAAGAACCAGTGCTTAAAAAAAAGAAAGAAAACCTTAAGGGACCTATTTTAAGAAAGATAAATTTTTGCGAGATATAAAGAAAAATCCAATGTTATCTCGTTTACAGAAATGTAAAGATACTTTGCAAAGATTTTTCTGATGAAGATCGAAAAAAATATGAAAAGATTATTGGCAGACCAACTATGGTCATGATAGTTTTAACACACATGAAAAAATTAAAGAATTAACTCACAACAATAGAACAAGAAAACCAGTAATACTGAAAGATGCAAATGGGAAACTTGTGTTGAATACTAACGACAAATTAAAGAGATGGACAGAATACATCAATGAATTATTCAAAGACAATAGAACAGAACAGATGGAGATAGAAGTAGAACAGGATATGGTTTTAACGGTATTAGAAGAGGAAACTAAAATGGCATTAAAAGACAGCAAAAATGGTAAAGCGTTAGGTCCAGACGAAATCCCTATAGAAATCTTAAAATGCGTGAATGATGAAACCTTAGACATTATAGTAGACTTATTTAACTCAGTATACAAAACAGGACACATACCAAAATAATGGTTACTCTTCACCTTTTGTGCTATCCCTAAAAGTACAAACGCTAAATATTGCAGTCAATACAGAACAGTATCACTAATAAGTCACATTCTCAAATTATTCCTGAAAGAAGGAATAGATGATAGTCAGTTTGGGTTCAGAAACGGACTAGGAACCAGAGAAGCGTTATTTGCTTTTAATGTGTTAGCTCAAAGATGCATGGACATGAATGTTGATGTGCATGTTTGTTACGTTGATTTTGAAAAAGCATTTGATAAAGTAAGACATGAAAAATTAGTCCAAATTCTAAAGACAAAAAACATAGACCACAGGGACTTATAGAGACAGAGTCACAGGGAATAATAACAAACCTCTACTGAAATCAAAGAGCACAGATCGTAATAGCAAACCTATTGAAATCAGGAGAGGAGTTAAGCAGGGATGTATTATGTCCCCATTACTATTTAATGTATATAGTGAAGCCATTTTTGAAGAAGCATTACTATCTCAAAGTGAAGGAATACTAATTAACGGAAGATCTATTAACAACATAAGATATGAAGATGACACCGTGATTATGGCAAACTCTGCTGATTGACTCCAATTACTGCTAAATAAAACAAACAGTTTCTGTGAACAATATGAACTAAAAATGAATATAAAAAAAAACCAAATACATGATAATAACAAAGAAAACCAATATACCAACAAACATACATTTTTGAAATGTACCGATAGAAAGGGTTGATAAATACAAATACCTAGGAACCTGGATTTCAGACAATAATGATCAAACAACTGAAATAAGAGCTAGGATAGAAATAGCAAGAACTGTGTTTGTAAAAATGCAAACAATGCTCTGCAACAAAGATCTTAGATTAGAACTGAGAGTAAGAGCAATAAGATGCTACGTGTTTTCGATACTGCAATATGGACTTAAAAGCTGGACATTGAAGCAAGAAAACATAAATAAGTTACAGTCCTTTGAAATGTGGTGTTACGGGAGAATGCTTAGAATAGCATGGACACGGAAGAAAACTAACACGGAAGTATTGCGAGAAATGGGCAAAGAATGCGAAATAATAAACACGATGAAAATAAGAAAGTTACAATATCTAGGACACGTAATGAGGGGACAGCGATATGAACTGCTAAGGCTAATAATACAGGAAAAGATAAGAGGAGGAAGGAGTATAGGAAGAAGGAGAGTGCCATGGTTGAAGAATTTGAGGGACTGGTTTAAATGCAGTTCTATAAAACTCTTTAGAGCAGCAGTAGATAAAGTAAAGATAGTGATGATGATATCCAACCTTCGATTGGGAGACGGCACTTAAAGAAGAAGAACTATTAAACATATTTAATAATATACATATTTTAATTCCTATAATAATAAAAGTAATCCTAGAATTCGACTGATTTTCATCTCTATTTTGAAGTTAACGCTTAAATTCAATAGCTTTTTATCGGTATTGTAACGTACTAAAATACTTTTAAAAATAAAAAATAGATATTCTTAAAAAACATTAGTTTTAATGATTACTTCGTTTCTTAGTGTAACTATAATTTGACTACGCTACAGTTTTGAACAACTTCCTCATTATTTTTCTTAGTGTACTAAGTAGTTTAACTGTCACTGTCGCTACGAAATTTCTGTCCTACGAAATTCAAAACTACCGACAAAGCTTTCGATTCTTGTTGGATAATGTATTCTGTGGTCTAATACGCACATACATGATACGAGAAATCTTCTTCTTCTTCTTCAGCCTTCATTTATCCATTGTTAGACATAGGCCTAATCCAATTGATTCCACGCTTCCCTATCTTTTGCAATTCTCATCCACTGTTTTCCAGCAACAGCTGTTATATCGTCTATCCATCTCTTTTTGGGTCTTCCTACGCTTCTTTTTGTTTCTCGAGGTCTCCAGAATGTCACTTTATGAGACCATCTGTTGGTGTCTTGTCTTGCTACATGTGCTACCCATTGCCATCTCAATGTCGCTATTTTTCCCATGATGTCGGTTACTTTAGTTCTTCAACGTATTTCGGTGTTTGAAATTTTGTCTCTGAGGCTTATATTTAACATGGCCCTCTCCATGGCTCGTTGAGTTACTCTTAATTGTTCTGCCATTTTTCTTGTTATTGCCATAGTTTCCAACCAATAAGTTGCAACTGGTAGTATACAAGTGTCATAGGTTTTCCGTTTTAGGTGAATTGGGATTTTTTTGTCTTTAAAAATGAAGCTCAACTTACCAAAATCAGCCCATGACGATTGTGTCATTCTTTTAATTTCTAGGGTTAGGTTTTCCTTTTCATTTTTAATTGCATTTCCTAGATATATAATATATATACATATATATATATATATATATATATATATATATATATATATATATATATATATATATATTGGTCTACCTTTTCTATATTGATGTTATCTATCGTGATATTTTCTAAGCTGTTGCTTAATATCTTTGTTTTGTCGAGATTCATTTTTAATCCTATTTGATTTGATTTGTGATTTAAATCTTGTAGCACTGATTTCAGTTCATGGATATCTGTGCTTATTAGTACTATGTCGTCTGCGAAACGCAAATGGTTTACTCCAGATTTAAAGATATACTCCATCTACTTTTAATTCCTTTTCGGTCCAATTTAGTTTTTTGAAAACATTTTCTAATGCAAAAGTAAATAATTTGGGTGAGATGGTGTTGCCCTGTCTCACACCTTTGCCAAGGTCTATTTTCATAGTTTCCAGATCATCATCTATTTTTACGTGAAAAGTAGCATCATCGTATATATTCTTAAGGAGGGCAGCATATCTTGAATTTACTCTGGCGTCCTCCAATGCTGTTAAGAAAGCCCATTTCTCGATACTGTCGAATGCTTTGTGATAATCGACAAATACCAGATGTAGTGGTATGTTGTACTCTATTGTTTTTTCAATAACTGTCCGGATTGTTTGCCAGTGATCGATAGTGCTAAAGCCCTTACAAAAGCCTGCTTGCTCCACTGGTTGGTATGCATCTAGTTTAGCTGTCAATCTATTTGTTATTATTCGAGTTAGTAGTTTGTATAGGTGTGACAATAAGCTTATTGATCGGTAGTTTTCTATATTTGCAGTGTCCCCTTTTTTATGGAGTAGAATGACTTCCGCATTTTTCCATGTCTTTGGTATTTGTCCTTCCAATAGGCATTTATTCAGTAATGCTCGCATTGTCTCTTCTAATGTAGTGCCTCCCATTTTAAGCATCTCTGAAGTAATTTTATCTTCTCCTAGTGTTTTCCCATTTTTTATTTGTTTTAGGGCGGCTCTAATTTCTGATGTTATTATTTCAGGGAGATATTCTGAGCCCACATTTAGGATATATTTTGTTGGTATACCAGGGTTCGGAATAGTAGAAGTATATAGCTTCTCATAAAATTTTCGGATTTCTCTAACGATCTCTTCCTTATGCGAGCACAGTGTTCCACGGTCGTCTTTTATCTTTATGATTTTATTGCTGCCAATGGATTTACATGTTTTCATTACTTTCATGTTCTTATTGTTCTCTATGGTTTCAAGGATCTGGTTTGTTCTATAAGCTTTAAAGTCTTTTTGAGTATTTTTCTTAACGCTTTTGTTGAGCGCTTTGTAGTCCGGGTTATCTCTGTTCGTTCTTCTTCTTTTCTCTATCTGTTCTAGAGTCTCGGGTTTTAGTTTAGCTTCTTTTTGTTTTCTCATTCTACAACAAAGTTTCTTAGTGACTGTTTGTATGTCTTTAGTTATTTTCTCAGCTAGTTCATCTATATTCTTGTGCTCAAAGGTATTTGCTACTAGTTTTCGTGCTAATTCCTCTTGGTATTTCTCTTTATTACTGGTAGGATGTCTGCCGTCGGTAAAAGGTTTGTTGTTAATAGTTTCCGTCTTTCTCTCTTTACGTTAATACGTATATCAGCACGAACTAGTCTATGGTCACTGCCGGTATTAAATTTGTTCAACACCTCGATGTTTTTACATATTGATCTATCATTGGAAAGAATAAAATCTATTTCATTCTTAACCTGACCGTCAGGGCTACGCCATGTTCACTTTCTTTGTATTTGTTTTTTATAGAACGTGTTCAGGCAAAACATTTTTTCGGTGCTTATGTAATTTGCTAATGTCTCTCCTCTGGTGTTTCTATTACCTAGACCGAAATTTCCTATGTAGTCTGAGTCGCGTGATATTCGCCGCCCTATTTTTGCATTAAAATCTCCGGTGATAATAAGTTGTTCGTAGAGTTGTTCTATTGACTCGTCATCCGCAGTGGAAGTTGGAACGAGAAATAAGAATGACATATTTATACTTTTCTAACATGAATTATAGCAGCTCAAAGAACTCATTAATATTTAGAGGTTTTAAAGAATTCTTTATACTGCGATTTTACGATTTCACTGGTAATCTATTAAAAATAAATAAGATAGACTTAGTATTAAAATATAACTATATTTTATCTTATAAGAGTACAGCGTTCACAGAACGTTAATTTTCCATTTTAATCTAAATCTCCACAAGCGGACACAGCAACAAGTTCAGCAGGACATTTCACTTCTTGAAAGCTAACTTTAGGATTGTCGACTCCTTCCAAAAACTGAAACCTAAATCTGCATCCAGGTTGTAATACTTCTGGTAGAATAGAGCACTCTTCAATTGTCGAAACACCTCCGTATCTTCTACCCCAACCATCTTCACCAGTTCCCCATTGGGTCATGCATCCAAGATTAAAGATGCCGACACCACCTCCGGGGATTTGGAGATCGAATTGATTTTCACCCAAGTCCGATCCTACGATACAAAATAAATATGGTGAGTGTGGATATCGGTAAAAATTTTATCTTAACAATATATCGTCAGTTGAGAAGTTAAACTCACTAAGTACAAAAATTATCGAAATTGACATTTTATCACCAAATGCATTAACACTAGAAAGTCGGGCTTAGCATACCTACCTAGAAAGCCCGAAGGGATCATTTTGACCTCAAGTTCCTAAATCAATAAAAACCAAGTTTAGAATTAACTATTTATTTGGGAATAAACAAAAAATAAAAATAAACAGTTTTAAGAAATTATATAAGCTCTTGACGATAGAATTTGATTTAATTTTTTAGTTTCATTTGAAATATTCGGAACGCCATACAGTTTGCAGTTTTTGGCATTTGCCATACATTGCCTTGTTACAGCCGTGGCACTCATTGGAAGTATGATTTCCTTTACAAAACATTTTTAACTGACATTTTTTTCTTTTTTAGTTAGTAACAGTGCTGGTGGTTGGTAAATCCGGTGTTGCTGGGTATAGTACCAGATTTCGAGAGGCAAGGTATGGAGCCCGTAATTCTTCACACAGCTGAAGAATAAACTTACACGACTGATTTTATTTCCAGTAAGTTCTTTATAAATAATCCATGCATTTATTGCTCCTAAGTCAAGAATGTTATAAAACACGTGCATTGGCCATCGTCTTGAAGCAACTTTTGTAGTATAAAGACGCGCCATTTGGTCCACTACATCAACCCCGTATTTTGTTTTATTTTAAAAACTTACTGTTTAAGAAAGTTTTTTTCCATCGACAGCAACATCCACTGATTGATGTAATGAGCTCAACAAAAGCACATTTTTGTGACACTTTCCTTGGTATGCAGTAAGTGTTATCTTTTCGTCGCTCTGGAATATATGGGTAACATATAATTCTCCATTTTTACTCTTTACGCTTAGAGGAACTTTCTTTCTGTTGCGATTCAAAGTACCCACAAGACTTGTTGATTTTTTTGCAATGCCTTGGCCAATTTTAACGATGTAAAGTAGTTATCTGCGTAACATTTTTGCCCTTTCCCAGTTGATTTTCCATTAACCGCAAAACAACATGTTCACCAACACTTGTATCTTTCTTGCGTAGATGATCAGTGCCAGTATAAGTGTAACCATTTACAATATATTTTAATTCCACGCATGTCAAAAGCCAAAATTGTATGCCAAACTTATCCGGCTTATTTGATATGTACTGTGTGAACGGGCACCTGACTTTAGAAGGCAGTAGTTGTTTGTCCACAGTAAGGTTTATTCCCGGTTTGTAACATGCACCACTATTTTCTATAAATTCATTCCAAACCGCAGAGGCTAGAGCAAATTTGTCGGTTTTCAATCGTTTAGATCTCGTTTGCTTCATGTCAAATCTGAGATATTTTATAATATCCTTGAATCTGTCTCGTGGCACAATTTGCCTAAAAAACTGAAGACCCCATACTGTTGACCACAAGCTGTTGGTTGGGAAATTTTTGGCGCCGTAGACTCCTCTTGCGTACATAATAGCAAGTGCAGCCTCCAGTTCTTCCAAAGTTATAGTCCATGTGTCATTTTTCAAGCATCGATGTGCTTCTGCAATATTGCATTCTTTTATATGACGTAACATGCTGTCGTTGATTATTAGATGCCAAGCACTTACCACACAATTGTTCCGCACGTTCAATTCAATGAATATGAAGATACTAAAAATCATAATCTTACCAGGTACTGATCCAGAATCAATAACTTTCCACGTTGTTACATCTTTCGATTGTTCGGTGTCTCCGATTGAAATAGTTTTTCTTTGCTGACCTCTTTTTCTCTTGTGACTTGGCTTAGATGCACTTGGATTCACGATAAAATTAGCTGACTCGTGCGGTTGAGTTGTAGAAGCAGTGTTTACATAAATTGGTGAGTCTTGTACAATAAAACTTTCTAACTGCTCTGAAGCATCAGAGTCACTTGAATCATTATTTTCTGGTGGTACGTATTGTTCATCGTCTGACTCATTATTTTCTGCAAATTCAGATTCACCTCCCAAAACATCTTCTTGTATTTTTCGTATTTTTTCAAGAAGTTCAAGCTCTGATAGTCCACGACGAGACATCTTTACAGTCATCTTGAATTTTCACAATTGAACGAATGTTTCAATATTCTAGAAACAAGAGTCAGCAGAACCTAATAAACCGCTCAATAAACAAAATACTTTCAAGAAACAAACAGTATCTAACAAAGTACCTTCTAGGAATAAACGTACATAAACATATTTTTATCTATCCGACAGAAAGTTAAAAGAAATCGTCAAATTTCCGAGAAAACGATAATAATTAATACAGGGCCAGTTTGGCCCCTTCAGACTTCTATGGTAGGTTTGGTAGAAAATCCATTTAATAAATTTAGTAAACAATATTTTTTTGCGTTAAATAAGACTTTGTATGAAAATAATAAAAGCCATAAAATATGAAATTATTATTGTGTCAAATAAAAGAACTACAATAACTTTAAATCGCAACAGGGGCCAAATTGGCCCCTTCGATTTTCTAGTATTAATGGTTTAAGATATTTGCCTGAAAAAAGTCACCAGCTACAAACATCGTTTCAACACAGACTTTCAATTTGAAACATTTCATTATTTGCAAATTTTAATAAGATCCCGGCAGGTAAAAGTCATTATTACATGCTATTTTGTAGATTAGGTAAGTTCAGTTAGATGACTTAGATGGTCGGCATATTCTTCAACGTTGCTTCCTTTATAGTGTCTGTCATTTTCAAGAACTTTTATTTTATTTTACTCACAGTAGCACTATCTTGTTTGGCGTAGGTTTCTTGTTCCTTTTAGTAATCCTGTACTACCTCAAAATTTAATTTACGTTTTACTTTCTTTTTCCTGTTATGCTTTTTAATTCATGTCCTATAAAGAAACAAAACCGCAGCAAAACATAAATTATTTTATAGATGAATAAACTGATCACAAATAATGTTCCAAACGGGTTAAGCTAAATATAATACTTTAGTAAACTTTTGTACAGGAAAAAAAGTTGATAAAGTTCTCAGAGAATGAGACTTTGTTGAAAATAATTAATACATATGAAAAACCTAAAAACATTGACACATAAGGTAATTAAAATAGGTGCTGTAAATGTTATATTTACCAGTGTTAACAATTTGAACCAACATTTGTTTTCCAGCCAACTGGTCCTTGAAAGACAACAAAATACAGTGGCAACATTTGGACGTATCTACACCACCTTGGAAAGAAACAGCTGACCACCCAAATGCCAAGGTGTCGTTTATAACGTAAGGTTGTTGGTTACTGAAAATAAACATTTATTTAGTGAATATTTTATTTTGCTGAAAGGTATTTTATATTTGTTTTCCTATATCTGCTCCGTTATTCATATTAGAAAAACACTCTAAAGCGTGTATGGCAATTTATTTATGAAAACAACAAAGATGAAATTATGTTTTGTTTGATAGACAGAGAGAACAAATTTTTCTATAGAAACTTTTGCTTTAAGTGCTGATTAGTGCATTTAGAAGCGGAGAAGTTGTGCTGTCCTAAAATGAAGAAAAAACATGAGAAAATAAGTCTCAACACTAAAATATGATCGAAGAAAGAAGGAGGCTAAAGGACAGGTATAACACAAACAACGCAGAATTCAGTCAACTCAGTAAAACAATAAACAAAGAAATCCGAAAAGACATAGGCAACATAACATAGAGAGAGGTGACAAGGGTGATAGAGAAAAATAGAAGTCTGAAATTTCTAAGACACATGTCCACAGGAAAAAAGAACATACATAAGTTAAGAAATAAATAAGATGACATTGTGACTGATAAGGAAGAAATAGTAAAAACAGTGGAAGACTTCTACAGACAACTCTATGAAACAAGTGAATCCGATAAAAGACGCCCCTTACCAAAGATAGAGAATCAAGGTTCAGAATTAATGCCGAACATAACTGTTGACCAAATTAAAAATGCACTTCGGGTGATCAAGAACAATAAATCCCCAGGTAAAGACAGGGTAATGACCGAAAGCCTAAAACTAAGAGGAAATAAGCTCTTACTGACACTTGCTAAACTGTTCAATAAATGTCTGTGCAAAGCGATAACACCGACGCAGTGGAACAACGCGAAATCATCTTACTTCATAAGAAGGGAGATATCAGTGACTTTAGAAACTACCGCCCCATTAGCTTGTTGTCACAAGTATATAAACTATTTACAAGAGTTATTACCAACAGGCTAGGAAGTAAGTTGGATTTCTATCAGCCAAGAGAGCAAGCAGTTTTTAGAGCAGGATATGGCACGAATGATCATTTACAAGTAATTAAGAACTTAATAGAAAAGAGTGTTGAATATAACAAGCCATTAGTCATGATATTTGTTGACTACGAAAAAGCTTTCGACACAATAAGTCATCAAAAGATGTTAAAAGCCTTAACAGAGTGCCGTATAGATCATCGCTATATAAACATGATAAAATACATCTATCAAAATGGGACAGCAAGCGTGAAATTTGCAGATAAAAAGACCAACGTATTTAAAATAAAACGGGGAGTGCGACAGGGAGACACAATTTCGCCAAAATTGTTTACAACATTATTAGAGCATATGTTTAAGAACGCAAATCTGAGTGAAAAAGGAATTAATGTCAATGGAGAAATGCTTAGTCATTTGAGGTTTGCTGACGATATTGTCCTTTTTGCTGACAGAATCGATGATGCAGTATCGCAACTGGAGAAACTATACCTAGCCTCCCTACAAGTTGGATTAAAAATCAACCACAAAAAAGAACAAATCATGACAAATCTTGTGTTAAGCGAAAAGATTTCAGTAAATGGCATGCATATTGAAAAAACCACCTCATATAAGTACTTAGGACATGAGATACGCTTAGGAAGAGATAATCAAACGTGCGAACTAAGCCGCCGCATAGAACTCACTTGGGTGGCATTCGGCAAGCCGAGCTATGTTCTTAAATCAGAATTGCCTATGTGTCTTAAAAGAAAAGTCTTTAATCAGTGCGTGTTGCCAGTACTTACATATGGTGCAGAGAGATTAACACTAACCAAGAAAGTAAGAAATAAAATTTGTGTTACCAAAAGAGCCATGAAACGATCGATGTTAGGCATTTCTCGTAGGGATCGGATCACGAACAAGGAAAGAAGACGGAGAACAGGAGTGACAGATGCCATAGAAAGAATTATGACCCTTAAGTGGAACTGGGCGGGGCACATAGCTAGAATGTCGGATAACAGATGGACACAGCGAATATTACAGTGGAGACCGAGACAAGAAGCACATCGAAGTAGAGGTCGTCCACCAACAAGATGGTCTGATGACATGAAACGGATCGACAAAAATTGAATGCAAACAGCACAAAACAGAAATACATGGAAAAGACTGAGGGAGACCTATATCCAGCAATGGATAGATCCGGGTTAAATGATGATAATGATGAAGTGCATTCAGCAGAGTATGTATTAGTCTTAAATTGGATCAAATTTCCAGGGACACCAAATTGCTGAAATGCAAAGAAGAATTACTTGAGCAGCATGCCAAATTTTTTGAAAAACAAGAAGTTCAACCAATGTGTACTTCCAGTCCTGACTTACCGAAAGTCTTTTCTTAGCTCAGGCTACAGGAACCAAACTAAGAGTAGCTCAAAGAAGAATGGAGAGGTTGTTACTTCGACTGATTCTCAGAGACAAGGTTAAAAACGAGGAAATAAGGACAGGCCTCATAGATGTCATAGATTGCATAGACTAGCTAAAATAGAATTAGGCGAACTATGTGAGCTAGCAGTGAGATTTATAACGAAAAAAGAATACAAGCGACTAGAATATGCAGAACAAAGAAAAGAGAGGCTATGAAAAAACAAATACAAGAAATAGTAAAGCATAAAAACAGACGCGAAAGCAGAAAATTCTATAAATGCATAAAAGAAAGCACACAGTTATTTATACCAAAACTAACGATATGTAAAGACAAGGATGGAGAACTACTAACAGAGAAGCAAAAAATTATAATGAGATGGAAACAATATTTCGAAGAAAATCTAAATGCAGACAACGAAAACGATCAGAACGAGACAATATATTATACGGCGGAGCTGCACATTGAAAATCCAAGTTATGAGGAAGTAGTTCAGATAATAAATAAACTAAAAAACAATAAAGCACCAGGAACGGACGGAATTTCGGCAGAATTATTAAAGCATGGAGGATCCGAACTCTGGGAAATAATCCATTACCTAATAACATTAATATGGACGAAGAAGCAAATGAGGAATGGACATATAAATCATACAGATATAAAAAAGGAGATAAGAGGGATGCCAGAATTATAGGCCAATTACATTGCGAAATGTAGTATACAAAATTCTTTCTGGTATAATCTACAATAGATTAATAGAATACTCCGAAAATATAATTGGTGATTATCAAAATGGATTCAGACCAAATAGAGCCACTACAGATAACATAGTCATACTAAGAACGATACAAGAGAAAGCTTATGAATACGACATAGACCTATATAATATGTATATAAACTTTAAACAAGCTTTTGATAGTGTGAAAAGAGACAGAATGCTGAAAGATCCTTGTAATCTAGGTATACCTAAGAAATACATCAGCCTCATAAAAATGACGTTGCAGGGTTAAAAAGCCGCAGTCAGAGTAGATGGAGAACTGACTCCCCTGTTTAACAACATGGGAGTAAGACAGGAAGATGCCCTATCAACCATGCTATTCAACCTAGTTCTTGAGGCAGTCATCAGAAAATTAATATAACCGGCCATATAAACACCAAATCAGTACAAATTACTGCATATGTAGACGATGTAGCCATCATTAGTACGAATAAGCCACGAACTAATGGAAGTGTTTAAACAAATTGATCCTGAAGCAAGAAAAAGAGGTCTCAAAATAAACGAAGTAAAAACGAAGTATCTGACAGTCAAAAGAATAACTGACAATAAAAATAATATCACAATAGACAACTATACTATCGAACGAGTGGATGCTTTTACATATCTCGGCACAGAAATCAATCAGAAGAACTCCGTAAATAGCGAAATTACTGCACGTATTTCCAGCGGGAATCGTACATACTATGCTAATAAAAGATTGATGACATCGAAATTATTAGACAAAAGAACCAAAATGACTATCTACAGAACACTGATTAGACCCGTAGTAACCTATGGATGTAAAACTTGGGTAATGACGAAAAAAGATGAAGCCCAACTTAGGACATTCGAGAGAAAAATACTGAGGAAAGTATATGGCCCGGTACAAGAGGAAGATGGCACATGGAGAATCAGGAGAAACGACGAGGTTAATGAGTTAAATGAAGGTTATGATTGTATATAATGTATATATTGTAAGATTTGTAAAAAGTCAAAGACTGTCATGGCTGGGACATGTGCAGAGACAAAACGATGCAAAAACAACAAAGAAAATGTTACAATGGAAGCCCATAGGAAGGCGAATAAAAGGAAGGCCCAGAACGAGATAGTTGGATTAATGAAAGGATATAGCCAGACAGGCAAAGAATCCAGGGTTATGATGCCAAAAGAAGAAGAAGAAGAATGTGACCAGAATAAATATCGTACAGTGGATTCAAAATATTACAGTGCGGAGAACACGAGCAGACAACAAATCATAGATAGACCAGTTTTTCGACTGACAGACGACGTCAAAAGAGTCGCTATAAATTGTCTGCAGGAATATCAAGATTGAAGAACTGTAACTAATTAGTGAAGGCTGAATGAATTTGATTTTTGTTTTGTTTTTGGAGAGACCTATATCTTATTCTAATATAATATAAAAGTGATTAATGGATACACATCTATTCTTCAGATCGTAAAGCACCTTGAAGAATGCATAGAGTTTAAGAGATTTTTAGGTTTACAAATACTTATTACCTGCACGTATAGGCGACTCCCCCTTGTTCACATCCTGATTGAGCGTTGTTTTCTCTGGTACTATTAGTAACGCCATCAACTTGGCAGGTCTGGTCAGGAATGCCGTTCTTAGTTTTGATAAAACCATAATAGGCACATGACGGAGCACAACAATCCCAGTAACGGGTGGTAATACCATCCCCACTCATACCGCCAGGAATAGGCACGATATCAGGAGAGCGGCCAAAAGAGGCAGCAGCAACTGAAACAAAAATTAATATTAAATTCAACGAATATATTTTCCTTAGATATGATACCCAAAGACCGATGGAACAAAATTCTTATAAGTTGGAGACCGTGGGAATATAGACGAAGCCGAGGAAGGCCCCAAATGAGATGGGCAGATGATATCAAGAAGCACGTGGGCTCTAGATGGATGACTGTAGCAACAGACAGAGAAGAATGGAAAAGGATTGGGGAGGCCTATGTCCAAAGATGGACCGAAGAAGGCTAATTAGATAGATAGATAGATATGATACGTTTTTTGCTAGGGTTCTATGGATAGCAAAATAACATAGTAAATGGTATTCATAAACATCTAACGGTCTTTATTTAACTAAATATGATAAACATCAATATTAAAAAAGGAAAGAGTATTTTAGTTTAGCCAAAAACATGTTCTCGACCAAAGCAATGATCGTGGAGATATGCTTGAAAATTAATGCCTGGAATGGGACATGGACACCGAAAGTTAAAAGCAGTGACTTAATAAGAAACTATAGTGACTATATACAGATTGAACGAAATAAATTCGGAACATACGAAATATTATGTATTTTGGCTCAATTCTGCTGTATGTGGTTTACCAACAAAATTTTAACAGAAGGTAGGTAATAGCCAAGGATCAAAATCTATATCGAACCAAAGTGCGTCAAAGCCTTGGGGGTGGTTGCCACCCCATCTCGGGGGTGAAAATATTTTTTTACGTTTTAACTACAGGTTTCGATTAAAAAAGTGATTCTAAATAAAAAATGTTCCATACATTTTTTTTGTAAAACTGATATTTTTCAAGTTATTCGCGATTGAAAGTAACAACTTTTAGACGAAAAAATCGACGGTTTTAATCTATTTTTCGCGAATAACTCGAAAATGGGGCATTTTATCAAAAAAATTTTAAAAGTCAAATGTGTAGATTTTAAAAAGACAAATACAATTCATTTTTTAAAATGTTTTTGCGATATAACAGGAACCGAAACACGGCCTATCAATGTTCAGCGGTTTTCTTCAAATGCCAAATTTGAAAGATTCAAAGTCAACTATCGGTAAAATGATGCATTTTTGGAAGGAAACTCACAGAACCTTTTTTAAAGAGCATAAATAGACCTATCATAAAAAAAGCTCAAAAATTGAGTGAGTTATGATGAAAATAAGGTCAATACCCCATTTTTTTACCAAAAAATCGATGAAAACAACCCCCTAACCACCTCCATAAATAAAATCGATCTTCACCCTTCTGCAATTCTCTTTGAACATATATTATTAATACGTCCAAGAAGTTTGACCCATTTAAACTGCTTAGTTTTAGAAAAAGTACAGCATAAAGCGAGAAACGATTTACAATTTCATATTTTTTACCCTTCTTTTTTTAAATATCCCCGAAAATAGTAAATATATGAAAAAAATAAAAATATACTAAATTGTAGCTTTTTTAATGACTAAAATTTTCCTTTATTTTAATTTGTCGTACAATGAATATTTGGCGAGATATAGCCGTTTAAAGCATCGATTTACGATCAAGCACCATCTTTTCAAACCCTTTAAACTCACCCCGTTTAAAAACCAAGGGTTCCAATCAGATTTAATTCACAGATCCTTGTAGCACTTAAAAACCTCTACAAAATCGTTTTTAAAGAAACACTCTATCGTTAAAAATGAAGGAAATACGTTAAAAAAACCAATAAATTTTTTTTTGGAAAATTCCATTAGTATAGTACAGTACATTTCGAAGCATAATAATCTACAAAACCGGTATATTAGTTAGTGGAGTGTTATACATTTGAAATTTTAAGCGTTCTTGTTTTAAAATCCCATACAACAGAATAAAACATCTGCTCATATGTCTATGGCTTGGCAATGAAAATATCAGAGCAACAGATTGGGGATGGTATTCCAAAGATGGTTTGTTATTATCCGTACGCATGAACAAACAGCCTGCACCCGATGAACTTTTAAAAATTATTTTTTACCAATGCAAAAAAGGATGCGGCGTTTCATGTGGGTGCAGAAAAGTTGGTTTATACTGTAAATCTACTTGTTCTGGGTGCTCAGGTGAAGGGTGCAATAATAGTCCACTAGTAATTGAAGAAGATGAGGATGACATAGATCACGATGAAGATTTATTTGATGACGAATAAAATTAATATTGTAATTGTTTTACCTATAAATGTCAATATTTTCAACTATTTATGTAAATGTATAAGAATATATGGTGCCTTTTTATGTTGATAAATTTTTTGTATTTAATTCTACTTTTTTTCACTTTATATCTATTAAATGAGTTTATAAAAACTGCAATGTTGTAAAGGGTGATTTTCAAAAGTTGAAAAGTTGCAAAATTTTGGCGAAAAATTGTTTTCACCTATAGCACTCATAACAATTGATTTTTAAAGGGTTGAAAATGTATGAAATTGTATTTTAAAGTATAAAAAACTCACTATTTAACTAATCCAAACCAAATTTCACTCATCTTAAGATTTGTAATGTTATTTTACAATTTTTAAAAATTAGGGGTAGTTTTCACCCCTAAGAACAATCAGGGTTCATCGGCATGACATAAACTATAAAGCAGAGGGTGAGTCGAGCTTAATCACAAATTTTTATGCAAATCCTTCCAAGGCGAAATCATTTTCTTCGCATTACTACTTTTTTTACATTAATCTCTAACAAGGGTCGCTTTTTAAGGGTTAAAATATGATGGAACTTTATTCAAATGCACTAAATTATCATTATTTAATTAATTTAAACCAAATTTTATCCATATTCAGGTTTAATATGTTATTTTATAATTTTTGACAATTAGGGGTAGTTTTCACCCCTAAGAACAATCAGGGTTCGTCGCCATGACATAAAGCATAAAGCAGTGGGTGAATTGAGCTTAAATCTAAATTTTTATCCAAATCGATCCAAAGCGAAATCATTTTTTTAGAATTAGTAATTTTTTTACATTAATCTCTAACAAGGGCTGCTTTTTAAGGGTTGAAATATGATGGAACTCTATTTAAAAGTATAAAATAATCATTATTTAACTAATTCAAACCAAATCTTACTCATACTCAGGTTTAATATGTTATTTTATAATTTTTGCCAATTAGGGGTAGTTTTCACCCCTAAAACCCTTCAGCGCACTTCGCTTTGATATAGATTTTGATTATTTGGCTATCACCTACCTTCTGTTAAAATTTCAACTCAATCCATGCAGGACGAAAAAATTGCGAAGTGTTAACTTTTTTCGAACTTCATTTCCTGAACTATTATCGCTTCCTTTACGCAAACAACATTGTTGCGAGACAGATAGTTGAACGATATTTTATACAATGTCTATACCCAGGTATGAATTTATTTTGTCCAAGTTTTGTATTGGTCCACTATTTCAAATGTAGTTCAAACAGACATATATTAAATTGTATGATCCGTTTTAAATTCGTTCAATCTGTATAAGTCAACCAACGCTTTAGAAACTATGTTAAAAGGGTCAATATTTACCCTGGAGTAGACATTCCATCTCACCATAATCTTCTAGTAGCACTAATATCAAAAAGATTCGAGAGAAAAGAGAAAATGCAGGATTACATATGTATACTTCAAAACGAAGAACTCGAAAGAGATATTAATAAAAATTAATAAGTCCTTTAAAAAAAATGAAAACAGTGTATGGAATAATCTGAAATTAAAGATAAAAAAAATTTGTATTTAATATTATTCTCAAACAAGGATATAAAAAAATGTAAATGATGCCTGAGATAATAAAGTTATTAAAGATACTAAGAAAAAAACTTTGAAGGGTATAAAAGTATGGACCGAAAAATCAAAAGAGAATTAAAGACTGTAATAGATGGCCGGATGGAAAGAAAGTGTGAAGAAATGAAACTGTTGGATTCTAGACATGTAGGTATGTATGTGGTGTTAACAGGCCTTCTAGGTCCATTTGTAAATTGATAGTTTTCATCGTTTTTTGTTCTTAGCTGTCAGCTTCTAATCTTTGATTCCTATTTCTTTGATATCTCCTATCACAACATATCTCTAGTTCGTTCTTGATCTTACTCTCTTTTTTGCGTTTGGATACTCTGGAACCAATATTATTGACTTGTCTATTACCTTGCATGATGTCTCAGCGACGTATAGCATTGTGGGTTTAATTATAGTTTTGTATACCCTCATTTTTGTATTATGAGATATATTTTTGCCCTTTATTATTTTGTTCACGACTTTAACCCATTGGTTGCTATTGGTCAGTCTCACAATAATTTCCGTCTCTTCCTTACATGTCTGGTCAATAAGGGTACCTTATTAACCAATACCATATATTTGTCCTTCTTCTTAACGTGCCCTATCAAGTCCTCTTGACGTTGGCGATTAACATGGCGAAACTGTCTCTGTCTCGAGCAATTCTAAAGAGTTGCTCAGCTTTCCTTATTCCTGTCCACACCCTGATATTCTTCAACAAAGAGGCCTGCTTTCTACCAATTCCTCTGCGTCCTTCGATTTTACCCATCATAATAAGTTGAAGAATATTATATCGGTCTCCTCTTACTACGTGTCCAAAATAGGCCATCTTTCTACATTTGATGTTATCAAGCAGCTCGCGAGCAGCATTTGCTCTCTCAAGGACTGCCACATTTGTCAGCATAGCCGTCCATGGAATTTTTAGTATACGTCTGTGCAGCCACATTTCAAAGGCCTCCAGACGATTAATGTTGAATATTTTTAATGTCCATGCTTCGACACCGTATAAGAGGACTGACCAAATGTAGCATTTAACCATGCGCTTTCGAAGTTGAAGTTGCAAGTTATCATTACAGAAGAATGACCTCATTTTCAAAAATGTCGTGCGGGCTATCCCGATTCCATATTTTATCTCTTGATCTGGATCTAGTTGTTTAGTAATATGGCAATCAAGATAATTAAAACTGGACACTCTCTGAATTATATGACCATCAACATATAATCGTGCATCTTGATGTGCTAAACGGCTAAACACCATGTGTTTTGTTTTTGAACAGTTTATGTTTAGGCAAAACTCTCTTCCCACTGTATAAGTGGCATTTAAAAGGCATTGTTGTCCATTCATGTCATCACTTAAAATAACTGTATCGTCTGCATATCTGATTGTATTTATCAGAATTCCATTAACTTTCACGCCCCATTTCAAATTATGCAGCGCTTCTTTAAATATTATATCTGAATTTAAATTAAATAACAGTGGGGATAGTATACAACCCTGTCTGACACCATTTTGTATTTTACATATTTCTGTTGATTTTCCGTTTATGCAAGCTGTCGCTGTTTGACGCCAGTATAACTTTTCTATGAATCGTATGTCTTGACTATCAACTCCTTTATCTTTTAATATTGTAATTAATTTGTGATGCTGTTCTTGATCAAAGGCCTTTTCATAGTCAATAAATACAGCAAAGACGTCTTTCCTTTGATCTCGACATTTCTGCAGTAATACATTTAGTGCAAAGAGGGCGTCCCGAGTTTCCAGTCCATTTCTGAAGCCAAATTGTGTTTCATCCTGGTCTTCTTCACATTTATCTCTGATTCTACTGTGGATGATGCGTAGAAATATTTTCAAAGTGTGGCTCATAAGGCTTATCATTCAATAATCGATACAGTTTTTCGGACGTTGTTTTTTTTTTGGTAGTGTTTATCCACCGAAAGTGTTTTGGTAGTGGTAGTGTTTATATTTGTCCACCTTCTTGAATTCTACAACTGATCCATCCTCCATCTCTAATTTAAGGAGCCCCTGGTATTTATTCCTTTTTTGTTTTGCTAGAGATTTTCATGTACTTATATTTATTATTATTAACTTTCTGTCCCATTTTAGAGCTTTCCCGAATTAGTCTTTTTTGCTATACTTGCCAGTTCTTTTAGATTTCTTGCAATGAAAAATAACTCATTAGCATATGCTAAACATTGATACTCTTGTAGAAAAGAGTGCCCGATATTTGTCACACTAACCCTTACATTTTTTTTTCTAGAACTGTATTAAATGGCAAGGTAGATAACTAGTTTCCTTAGTAAACATATTTTTTTACTTTTAATTCTTGTGAGACTGTACCATTGCATTTCACAGCACAATTGTTTTTTCTTACTGTCATTTTTACCAATTTTACTATTTTTTCTGGTACTTGGAATTCTTTTAGCGTTTTTAATAATTTATTTTTATCCATTGTATGGTAGGCGGCCCTTTAATCAATGAAAAATATTTATGCTAAAATTTTATATTCATAACAATTAATCAGGATGTTTTTTAACATAAAAAATTGATTGGTTGTTGATCTTCTCTTGCGAAATACCTTCCTTTTATTCTCCTACATTCTTTTCCTATAATTCTATTATATATCACAGACGCACTTGGTCTGGATAACAATATTAAAATATTACAAAAAGTCGGAGTCTATTACAGAACATTATAAAATGGCAACTGTAATAGGCAGTTAGCAAATCTGGACAACCCGAAAATCCCGAAATAGAAAAGCGATTGCAAGAAGATTAGAGGACTCATAGAATATAGGGAAGAAACAGTTAAAGAAGAATGAAATAAGATTAAGAGGTTAACATTGAATTAAAATAGGATTTAAAAAACATCAAAGAGAAAATCTTTGGTTTGATAAAGAAAGTAATTAAACAGTAGAGACAATAGATGAACTAGACATACAGTATACTCAAAGAAGAACACAAGAGAGGCGTGAAACATTTGAAGAAGAACGAATAAAGGCAGACAAAATATGCAGAGGACAAAAGGAGAAATACGAAAACAATCAAATAGTAAGAATATATGAAGATTTCAATCTGGGGGACACTAGGGGAGCATATCAATTCCTGAAGTAACTTAGAGGGGGATATTACGGCGCTAGGGATCTGACAAACAGATTTTTTTTAATAAAATTTCTCATCTTATTCAGATTCGAACGATCGCTCAGTTTGTACGCTCAGTAAATTGACGCTCTTACGTCTGCGGTACTAAATCAGTATTATTATGGGTTGAAAAATGTGATGATTTTATGACAAATAAACTTTGTCTGATACCATACTTAGACACAAAACTCAGTAAATAGTTCTGAAAATACAGCAATTTAACAAACATATAATAAACAATACAACAAACAAGATACGTGTAATCTTATGTTATGTGGACAACTGAAGAGGTTGTTACAAGGTAAAATGGTAAAGATATTGACATGAAATTTCCAAGAGGCAAAAATATTACAACAATACAACTATAGGCAGTCGGTACTATATACCTAATATAGAATTATACCTAATATTACCTAATACATTACATAAAAACATAATAATAATAGTGTTCTTACCATATCCCAAAAAGGCAATAACAACAAAATACTTCATCTTGAAGTTTGTTTGTGTGACTTAAAGATTAGCTTGTAAATGCTCTTTTATACATATTTTTATCTAAAATATTAAGATAATTGATTGACGGCAGCTTGCAGCCACTTAAGATAAATATTATTTATGACCTGATTTTAATACTTTCTTTTGACTATTTTAAGTATTTACATGTATGAATGATATACATATTTAGATAATGCGCAAATATCCTTGATATTAAACAGTTATGACAGTGATTAATAAATATTTTTTCTATATATTAACAATTTAACCACAACGATAGGCATGGCGGAGAAGAAAATCTTGGTATACTTTTTCCAAAGTCAATTTTCCAAGTGGCGGCTTTTGAGCTTCTTTGATGCAAATGCCGACCATTGGCGTGGAAATTAAGAAAAGGGATCAGTTCATCAAACGCATATTTCAAGAAAAATCATAATTTTTATTAATTTTTACATAATTATATTCAGGAAAATTTTTTTTACAGAACAATTTTTTAAACAAATTCAAAATATCACCTTTTGTGCTCCAAAAAATATTTTTTTAGGTTTTTGGATGACTCTAAATAAGATCTATGTCATTTTTCTCAAAAGTTAATAGTTTTGGAGATATAGGCGATTTAAAATCCGAAAAATGCGATACCTAATATGCATTTTCGAGGCTTGAAAAATATGTAAATGAGTATTTTTGAGATTCAAGAGTATTTAAACTAAAGTCTCGACATTGATTTTGGTGAGAAATTGGGGTAATATTTTCCGTAGCAGAAAAAGGAGATCTTTTGAATTTGAATTGTTTCCTGCAAAAATGTCCGGCACCCTTCAACCTTCGATTTGTTTAAACGCGGTATTTTTGAATAGGAATCTTCAAAGGACAGAATCAGTTTTTTTTTTCAAATGTGAGCGGGCTCACAACATCTAATAAATAACAAATTAATTCTTTCAAATTAAAGCTTGTTAATTTTAGTGATTTATAAGAATATTGGACTTATTATTTAGTTTTTACATAAACCATAATATTTTTTTACAATTATCTGTAAATAATGGTTCATTCTGTCAGAAAATTTTAAAAGATTGTCTATCCAGCAAGGACAGAAAATCTCAAAATATTGTCTGTCCAGCAAGGACCACGAGGAGGTATGAGCCTTCCTTGCCAGGAAAGGAAAGGGTTAGGTATGTTAGTAAGAATATAAAGTTAGTTTTTTTTTCATTTTGTTTTTATTATTTTTTTTTTTGTTTTTATATTTTTTTTTGTTTTTTGTTTTTTTTTTTGTTCTGACTCTATACAGTGTGTCGCATTTAAGATGAAGATACCCCTATATTTCGGCTATTAGAATAAATACCAATTTGAAATTTTGCACAGTCATACAGGTTGTCAATTCACATTTTTTAAGATAATCAACTGAAATTTAATTTTTAAACACGGCCTACTGTTAATGCACAAACAGAGTGAATCTTCAATATTTTGCTTCGAGTTAGAGATATCGGAAAAAGTTATTTGGAAAAGATGTTCCAAATATTATTATAACCCCACATAACAAAGTTTTATGTCAAAATTCGCACTTTTACTTTTTTCATTAATTGAAGAGCTTATTTCCAGTGTCTTAAATCCAAAATTTCGATTTTTTTAATTTTCTTTTTTTAAACTTTATAGATTTCTTCAAGTCTAAAATAAAGTTATATGTACCAAAACAACTTCTTATTTGCCATTTAAAAGTGCATATGAAAATTGTAAAATTGTATAATTTGTATGTTAAATTTGTATGAAAATCTGTAATTTCATGGATTTCATTATATGGATTTAAGACACTTTGGAAATAAGCTCTTCAATTGTAGTCAGGATTCTAAAACGGACAGTTGGCTGTCCCGAGATGCATCTTTAGACAGCCAATTGTAGATTTAGGATCGAGATTACAAATAATACTGAAAAACTAAAATTGCGAATTTTGTCATGAATTTTGGAATGTGCGGTTACAATAAGTGGAATAACTTTTCCAAATAAGTTTTTCCGATTTCTCTAACGCGAAGCAAAATATCGAAAATTTACCCTGTTTGTGGATTCGCAGTAAGCCGCGTTTAAAATTTAAATTTCAGATAACTAACTATCTTAAAAATATGTGCACTATCAACATGTATGACTGCAAAATTTCTAATCTGTATGTATTTTGATAGCTGATATATAGAGGTGTCTTCATCTTAAATGCGACACACTGTATAATAATGAATACTAGTGTTCAAGATGCATCGCGATAGCTGTAAAGAAATTAATTAGAAGGACTAAAAAGAATCGTCAGAGTCTTCTGAAGTCGAATCGTTCCCAGGTTGTATAACTATTGGTGCTATTGCCGGTAAAACAGGATATTCATTTTCTATTTTTACAACATGAGCTTCGCAACTTTTCCACACATCGCTATTAATGCCACTAATTACTTCTCGGATATTCTCAATGGCCACTGCGCTTAATGTTGGTGACTGATTATATTTTCGCAATCGTTTTTTTACGGTACCCCAAACCATTTCAATTGGATTAAAAATGCAATAGTATGGAGGTAATCGCAAAAGAGTATGGCCGTGCCTGCTGCAAATGGTGTCAATAACGTATTCGTTTTTGAAATTCCGACTTTTGATCATTCTAATTAATTCTTTTTTTACTGGAATCTTTTTAGGAACAGTGATATTTTTAAGTTCCATAAATTTTAAAATTTCGTCCTTTTTCGTGTTATTATTAGGTATTTTATTTAATATGCGGGAATGATACGACGCATTATCCATAACAATCACTGAATTCGGCGGAATATTGGGCAAGAGTTGTTCAACAAACCACTTTTCAAATAAATCGGCTGTCATATCTTCGTGATAATCGGCAGAAGACTTTGTTATATTTTTGGCCGACAATAGCAATGCATTAGATACAAAACCATCTTTGCTTCCGGCATGAAGAATAATAACACGTTTTCCTCGTGAACAGGGTGTATTTAATGCACACTTGTTTGTGTTGTCAACCCAGCCGTACTTGACAACATCATGCGTATCGAACCAGGTTTCATCTAAATAGATTATGTTTCTGTTTGAATTACGATACTGTTTTATTTTACTCAAATACTCTCGTCGAAGTTCAACAATACGCCGAGATTCCATTATTACCATTCGATTATCTAATTTCTTATATTTAAATCCACAACTTATCAAAATCTCGCGCAGTGTTTCCAAAGATGTATAATTATATTCAGGGAAATCTCTCAATTTTTCACGAATCAGTTCTAAAGTAGGCACTCTATTTTCTTTGTAAAAATTGTAAACTGTTCGCTGAATAACGTCTTTTGCAGCAGTGTCAATCCTACCCAATTTTTTATTTGGTCGCTTTCGTTTTAAGGAATGATCTGTAACAATGCCTAATTTAATAATTGTATATATCGTCTTATACCCGATTTTTGTTAATACATGAATTCTCGAAACAATTGCATTATCAGCCATCAAAATATTTTCTTTTTTCAAACACTCATACTTATTTAAAACTATTCTTTGGGATTGTACGTGCAAATCTTTATTTTTTAATTCGGGGCTGTCATTAACATAATTGTCATTATCTATTGATAACACAGAAGTTGATGCATCTTGATCATTCGTATCAAATGGTCTCCAAAATGCCATCCTAGAAAAATATAATATTACTTACCTTATTATCCGCCTCTGATAGCTGCTTGCAAAATGAACTATTTAGGGTGTCATATAGCCAGACAAACAGGTGTTCCATCAAGATTTATTGCGATGCGCTTCGCTGTTGCCAAGTTTAAAATTATTGAATGTAACTTTAATACCATAATTAATATATCTGCAATTTTTCATGTTTCCAGGTAAGGTATAAAATCAATAAAATTTGGAAAAAAATAATACAATTCTTGAAACCGTTTTTCAGAACTTGGATTCTTAAAAGTTGTCTGATTTCTTAAAAGTCGATCATTATATCTATAAGAGTATTACCGCTAAATTCACCAACATGGCAACGTCGATATAGACCGAACATCGAAATCACCTCGAAATTCTGTCCAGACTACAATGTTGCCGATATTCGAAAATTACTTAGAGTATAAGTTATATATACAAAGTTCACAGTTGCTTTAATTCATTAGTGAAGAGTCCATGGAAATATTAGTACCTAGTTAATTAATTTATATAGATATATTTTTTGAGAATATGTTCATATTATTTTTTAAGAGTGTCGTTCGTTGACTAGCAATTGAATAATAACGAATAGAGAATAGAGAATATTTTTTAAATATAACCTTAGGAATTTTAGGAAATATATCTGACAACCTTGATTTGAAAGGCGGTCTCTTTGAAATCAGAGTGAGGCATATTTATGTTGGAAAATTATTAGTGGATGTACTATATGACAGGGATGATGGGAGAACCCTGGATTATAGGAATTGTATAAAATAGAGTAACAATAATTGGAAAAATATTAAAGTCAACATAACTATGAAGTTTCTAAACAACTTGAGGTTTACAGACAACATAGTTCTTATTGCATACCGGGTAAATCATGCTACCAACTTCTTTAAGACCTTCAGAGCTTCTAAGATTCGAGTTGGCCTTAAAGATAACGTTTCCAAAACACAATACATGCCCAACCAAATTGATTAAGTGTATACATAGATCTGGGCTATTATTATATACCTATTAGTATCTGGGCTTCTTCTTATGGTGTCTTCTCCATTACTAAAGGTTGGCTATAACTACAGCAAATTACTCTCTATCTTGAGCTGTTGTTAGTTTTGAATGTGTGTCCATACCTGTCCAGTCTCTTACGTGCTTCAACCAGGAGCATTTTCTTCTTCCTGGACCTCTTCTTTCTTTCACTTTTCCTTCCATTATAAGTCGTAGGAAGTTTTATTTTTCTCCTTTGTAAATATGTCCTAGATAACTCGTTTTTCTGTTTTTTAAATTTTTAGGAGTTCTCTGTCAGTACCTTTTCTTTTTAGCACCTCATTGTTGGTCACGTGCTCTGTCCAAGAGATCTTTAGCATCCTTCGAAAAAC